TCTCTCTCTCTCTCTCTCTCTCTCTCTCTCTCCCTCTCTCTCTGTCTCTCTCTCAAATTAAAAGACCCTGCATCAAAAATGTTAAAATGTCTGAACGGGCTTTCAATGATATTCCAATACTTCCACCCCATCTGTCCAAGCTTTAACACCGTGTGTTCCATCCAGCAAGTTACTGTCATCCTGAGGCGCAACAAAGCCTGAATAGTCTGAAATTTTGACTTGAGAAAGTTGTCTTTTTTGGCACTAAAATTTGGAATCCCCTTCCCACAGGACCTCAGAGAAACAACATATTATCCTAATACATGTACGTGTGGCGAAAGTTCAAGACTCATTTGTTTAAGTCTTTATTGCTGTGTGTTAGTCGGTGCCGATATTATAATATATTGGCTTCCCTGCTGTTCTTGCATGTATGTAATTAAAGTATGGTTGAGAAAGATCTTCCTTTTGTGGCTGAACTGTGTAAAATGTTTAAATCGTGTGTGCATGAAGTATCGGGTGTCTAAAAAAGAAACAAAAAAACTATTTAAAGGGCAGTAACCGGTAATCTTTGCACCAATTTCAACAAAACTGTAAAATACGAAATTCAACCTGGGGGACATCACATAATTTGTGAGGCAGCGTGGTGGAATAAGACTCTCGTCAAAATAATCAAAGTGAAGAAACTTGAATTTTTCCGCAGGTTTGTGAATTTTTATCAAATTGTTGTTTTTCTGCTCAACACCTTTCATACCCATTAAAGAACGCATTTCTTTGTGGATTTTTCTTAAAAACGTTGTTTAAAGGTGCAACAAAAAGTAAATTTTCAGTTACCACGGACTCTTAAGCTAAAGAAATAACTAATCTTTGGTTGCCATTTTCTCACTAATTTTACCTCTGAAAACAGGTGACCCCTACCTCCTTTATTTGCAAATATCTCGACTTGTATTCAAGATAAATGGATATTTTTTCCGTCCAAATAAAGACGGGCGAATAAGCTTTAGGTTGATACCAATAACTCTACATGCCCAAAAATTGACGAGAGCCTGATTCCACCACGCCGCCTCACATTTGTTAAAATGAAACCAATCAATCACCCTGTTCGTACACAATCAAATTTTTAAAATTTCAACCAAAATTAAGTGAAACGCAAAACTTTGCAACTTCCTAAAAATCAACCGTACTGACCTATTTCAAGAATTCACTATGTGTTTATTGCAGAACAAAGTTATGAAGAAAATCATTATCGTCAAATAAACCCACAGAGGTGACGGCTTCTTAAAACTCCAGGGATTGACCCTTTTTTTTCTCCTTGCAAGCTCCAATACACCATTGGAAATTTTGAACAACCCCGTGGCGTGTTTTAGGGTCTATTCATTCGACGTCCAGTTCAACATTGAGTTTCAACTGCTCGATTGTTTGTGGCCTATTTCCGTAGACTCTGTCAACCCCCCCCCCCCCCAAACAAAAAGAAAAAAGAAAAAAAAAGAGTATTAATTTCAAGGGCTTTAGTTTTGAGGAATGTGGTAACTGGTAATCATTCACTTGCAAACTTTCGACCCATAATTCGTTCCCAAACCTTTCTTACAACCGTATACAAGGGCCACTCTAGACATTTGGGGTGTAGCACATCTCTGGTGTAGCCCCATCCAACTGGAACTAGACCTCTACAGCACATTTTCTCCTCCCCAACCCC